ACCAGGCTATTTAGAAATACAAAAATTATATCGTGAAGACTTCTGCGGCTCGCGTGTACATTTCCAGTGAGTGTTGTATTGCAATGGATAATCACGTGAATTAAATACAGAAGTCAGGTTGGGACTTTCAAAATAAAATTGTTTTGGATGGACTTTTGTTCAACAATTTTGTATTCTTTGCAGTTTATGTATTGTAACAACAATATTTTGGATGTCAATATTGAAGAGCAACTTTTCTCTTGATGAAATTCTTGAAGTTCTTTCATCACAAAATGACTTTAAAAAATTGAAAAAAAATTGCATATAATATAATAAATAAAGAATGTCTGATATTAATGTAATGTTCTTATACACAATCACAGAAACTTTAGTATTCAGTTTTTAAACAAATTGTTACGCCATCAAAGTGGATTATTCTTCTTTTAAGAGCAGTCAGTATCAGATCTAATCTTCTGTGCAACATTATTGACTCTTCACTCACACACACACGGAGTCACGTGAGTTTATTTTTATAAGTTATTGAAAATATAATGAATCATATTTCACATTTGCTCTGCACTTTCGAACGGCCGAATAAACTCAGAAAACATCTGGAGACTCACTTTGGATTCTTTTTTATTTAGTTGAAATATTATGTTAACTCTATGCTGATTCATTCTAGCGTAAGTCTCGTAGTTGGCGCTCGAGAGAACGCGGTAAATGTTGTTTAATCTATCCATTCTATAAGTGACGATCTGAAATAGTACCACAAATGTTTGTTAAGGTACATGGACATTGTTAATTCAGTGTAAGATATAAGATCGTTAGCATAACAAACAATTGTTCGACAATCCACTGCATTTGGGAGCGGCATTTCGTGATTATTCATAAAGAAGAATATCAGAATACCAAATTTATGCGCATTGCATTTGTTTGGTCCTTCATGTGAACCGTGTAAGTCCCACACGGCAGCTAGATCGACATTGTGCAACTGAGCTCGCACTAAACCGAAAAAGAGTTGGAATATAATTTATTCACTCATACTTACACAATTGTCATACACTTGCTCCACTACTTGGTCAAATCACATTTCTGTCCCGGCCAACTGTATACTTTTGCACACATGCAGTCAATTATCTCTAGTTGCAATATGTTAATAACGCGACATAAACACAAGTTTTATTCAGATAATTTATTTACTTACTTACTTCGGGCTAACTAACGACAATAACGGCACTTCCAACGAGGATTTCACGGCGAGCTTCAAGCTCAAGGATGATGATTATTTATTGGAACGAGTGCTTCCTTCGGCCGCTGTTGGGATTTGGACGGATTGCAGGCATGGTTATAATAATCATTCTCCTAAAGTACCTAAATACGATTAAATTTTGTTTACTCATAAAAATTAAAATAATTTTTTTATAACGTTAATTTAGACTAATTTAGTTTACTTAAAAATTAATTTATATCATTTTAATCTCTAAAAATTTAATTTAGATTACTTTAGTATAAGAAATGGTTTTTACTCAAAAAAATTTAAATTTTTTGTACATTAATTTGAAAATATTAAATCAAAAAATCTGTAAATTTTGCATAGATGTCATTTCCCCATTGGTTGCAACATGTAGACACCAATCTTAAATTAGTAGCTTAATCAATAGAAAGTTTAGGTGATTTAAGAGACCATATATATACGATCCCCTAATACAAACATGCCGGCCAATATGTAATCTGATGGAAGGGATGTCACTCTCGAGGCCGGCATCAGACTGACTGACAGACATTCGGTCGCTGGAGCTGGAAATCTACGGCAACTCTCGAGATCTCTTCTCTCTGCGTGCGTCCCGAGAGGTCCAGGACGTTGCTATGGACGCACTTGTAGAGCAAGGAGATTCACGAGTATGTCAACCACGTTCTGTAATGTACTGTACTGCCGTAGTCTCCATAACTGTACCCGGTCCGAATGTCCTCAATTAAGTGCTCAACCGTATGGTCCTGTACTGTAGGACGCTTTTAAGTATAGTCGAAGACGTACATGATACAAATACAAACAATATAATCCTGTATATGGAGACTGTATGTTTTGTAGCTGGACCTGTAATTGGTGGCATGCGCTGTGGCCCTGTTTCCATTTATCTTCTTCCGATACCAGCACTTCGTATTATATAGTGCGCAGGTTTGTATTATTGTGCACATGTGCACGATGCGGATGCCCGGAGTGGAGAACAGAGGGAGAGGGTTCGGTTGCATGATTGAACTCAATAGACGGAGCCACTAGTGGGAGCCAAATGATGCGTTTATGGGCTTTGTAAAAGTGTGCAGGAGCTGAGTGGATATGAAGGTTCCGCGAATCCGAAGAAGCCAACGGAAATCAGGATGGAGAAAGACGAGCGAAAAGCTCAAACCGAGTGAGTGAGTGGGTAGGCCAGGGAGGGCGACAGTCCAGTCCGTGTGACCAGCTCTTGTTTCGCCGAACATGAGGCTACAATTTCAGCTCTGGGTTGTAGATATGTAGAGATTGTACATAGATATAAAATGATTGCGAGCTCCCTCCCGAGCTTCGATTCTAGAGCCCTGTACGGTCGCCTGAAGGAAGACACTTCCAAGGAGAGACGCAGTCGATGGATGTTCGATGAAGAAGAAGAAGGAGAAGTTGCAAAAACCTCCGTTTGGTCGATCATTGGACCCAGGACAACACAATATTCTTGTCCTTTGGAGGTCTGGAATACCGTGACCCTTTTGATCAGTGACCCCTTCTCATCCACATCGAACAACCAGATCTGAAGTGTGTGAAAAAACAGGTCAGAAGATTATCTCCACAAAAACATGACGCTAGAGAGTCAGCCAGTCGACCGGATAGTCCAAAACGTAGAATATCATATCGTCGGTCATGGCATCATGTCACTTGTGCATGCTCGGAATCTCCTTCCGATTCTCATGCCCTCCTCCCTCCCTCCCGTCTTATTGTTCAAGATCGATGAATCTGATGGAAGCAAGAATGCTGCAGAATGTCCACTTGAATATGCTCGTACACATGTTTATACCTTTTCAAGATAAGTGCAGATTATTAACTGCTTCCGGATCCAATCAAACGAAGAGCAGGGAATGAACTGGACTCGACTCTTCGAGGACGCACAGTCGCTACCTCGAAGACCCGGTCCTACCGCGCATTTGCTTTGTTCTGATTTGTTTGGTGGTGGGTGCCAACCTTTGCAATTGAGAAGGGTGGCCTTCCGAGGATCTGCGAGTCTGGGGGCCGAGCTATTTGGATTTGGAGTCATCGCTCGCCTGCTATGGCGGGTCTTATGCTCTAGTCTACATGCTCACTATTATTCCGCTATCCGCGAGGCTTTGATTCATTCGGGTGGGCCAGAAGCAGCTCGTGTTCGGATTCGGGCTCTGAGCCACGCTCTGACTGCGCCCCCGCCTTCGTCCACTCGCGATGGGCACGATCATCATGTCTTTGACTTTCGTTCCTCGAGATCTAGAAGGAGCTCAGCAGACCCAGGTTTGACTCGGTGTGCCAGTCGGTGGACCCAGTTCCAAGGCTTGGGGGATAAACTCCAGGGCTTCAGCACGCGGAGGGGAGGAATGAATGCCGTCCACTATTTTCACAATGTCCGTGCGCGAGAAATCGCATCTGGGAGATGGAAGTTGCGGTCTGCCATGCGTTGAGATGGTTTTAGATTTTACGCATGGGTTTAAATTGCAAGGCTTGCTTGCTTCTGGGATGGGACGGCTGTTGACGAACATTCGTTGGGTGAGGGGAAGTTTGATTGTCGACAATCGTGTAGTGCACCAGCATGTGCAGCGTGGATTTTGAGCTGGCCACTGTAAAGTGGGCCAAACCAACAGACAAACCAGTCGGGCGCTGGAATTTGCGATCCAAGGCATGTCCGGATCTGAGATCAGGGAACATGTGGGACCATTTGGAGCCAGCCTGAGAAACCTCGTCCTGCCTTCCATGGACTCAAACACAAACATAAAGCGCAGGCAGGCAGGCACTGGAAGTCACCGATCGCTTGACCTTCTGTGCTTACATCCATCTGGAGCAGCAGGCGTTTGTTAGCCATGGTGCATGCCGGGAATGAATCGATTTGGGTAGAGCGAGTGGATAAACTTATGGATCCCTTCCCTCCTTTTCTCTTCCTGAAAACTGGTTTGGGTCTCTGCTGGATTGGCTTGCTGCGGGCTGCATTTCTGGCGGTCGGTCGGTCGCTCGTCCTCTCTCTCTCTCTCTCTCTCTCTCTCTATTTGCCCCTGAACTGCAACCAATGGCTCTCCTGGCTCTAGTCCTTCGCAAAAGAAATTCCCCCGAACTTGAATGTCTAGATGTCCACCTTATCGACAATGGGTCCATGTTCACTCCGCCGACTACTTCTGCTCTGCACCTTAATTCTGCCCCGAAATTTTGCCTCTCGATACCATCATCGTATGACTGTCGGAAATGACCAACACTGGCGCTCATCCGCCACGCTCCGTTCCTGAATCCTGTGACGTTCTGAAACTTTTCTACTGTCCAGAGTACAAACGCTTTTGGTCGCGTCTTTCATTCAGTAGACGGAAGCCCACTCCAAGTTCTTGGCGATACCACCCAATGACACGTGAGGTGTCCTCCCAATCCAGGCCAAGCTTGAGGTTGCGAGTACTTGATGCTTATATTTCGTCCATTGCTCATACCAAGATATATACAGTCAACAGTTGTGGACTCGAGACTCGACTCTAAACTATCAAATTGAAATTCTCTTTCTTCCTGGAAATAATCCACTTCGGAGTAATGAGATAATTTTTTTCTGACTTCCGAGGACCCTGCTCTCCGAAATGATACTAGTGTGCCTCTTGCATTTTCCCGAGGAAGCTGCCACTGTCCTCCTAGTCGGAAACAAATCACTGCAGAAGGATGGATGCGAATGGGCATGATTCTTCTTTTTCTTCTCTATCTGTGCTGTTAGTTTGACGCCAAAGACTCGGCTGTTTCTAACCAGGAAATCCTGGTTTAGATGCCCGAGCTGTAAAACAACATTAAAGTTGTGGGGAAACGAAGGTTTTGGGTTTAAGTCTATCCCAGCGTTATCGTTAGCTACTGACATCGCGTTTCTCTTTTGGGTGGAGGACAGTCTAAACGTGAGCGCACATTTCTCCTCTATTGGTCTTACTCAGGCCCTTCGAGACCTCGACACCTACCAAAACCTCCTCAGCATAGAAATTTTGCTCATGGCGAAATGGTACATATCGCTTAATGTGTTTGCGAACACCGGATAAGCAGCATAGTAGCCTTGCCATCAGCTGCGTATGAGGCCTCCCAAGAACAGACAAATTGACACCTTCAATATGAACCACCTTCTGAACAAAACCTAGGCAATGAACAGCAGAACTCTATGCAAGCCAATCTGAGGAGCGGAGTCTTCGTGCCTCCGTCGTTGGTCTTGGAGTATAGACAAACATGGTAAGCCCTGGTCCGATTATCTTCAGCCTCGGATTCACTTTGCATATGTAAACTCATTTGTCGTGTACAGCCCATTGTGGAACAACACTTAAATCCAAAATTTTGCGTACTCGGTATATACTCCATTCCTAGCCCACGGATATTGGTGCGCCAGGAAGAAAATGCTCCACTTCTTCAGCTTCGGTATCTTTGGGCAAATCTGATGCCAACTTTTTGGATTCCAAGTCTATAAACTCGTTGGACTTTCTTGCCAAATGGGCAATACTAACTCTCCCTAGTCTCTTAATATACTCAGCAACGGCCCTCATTTCTTCAGGAGATATGTAGATAAATTTGCCTCGATCGTCCATAACACCAGATATTCGACCTAAAACACCATACCCAGGACACAAGCCATCACTCAACACAAACAAATGCGGGTCGGTAGGGGAATAAGGAGTTAACAGTACTCTACGAAGTCTGACAAAAAGGACGCAAATTAGACACGTATAGGAATCGCCAATGTTAACAACGACAACCCCAACCTGAAACCTGCACGAGTTTGAAAGTTACATTTTTCTGAAACCTAGAAAGCAAGAACGCTGTAAGAAGGCGGCACACAGGAACTTCATATCTTTTACAAAAAGAGGCTAGCAAGTGTAGATGTTGTGATTACAGGTCCCTTACCCATTTGCTCTAGAGCCAATACCCTGTTAATACAATCCTGCAAAACACGAGTCCAACATCTCCAGTCAGCCAATATGGAAGCCAGAGGCCTGAAGCCAGGAAAGGTCCGAATTCAAGAACATGCAGGGTGAAGCATAGACCTACTATAAAATTAGACTCTGGTCGATTTATGAAACATGTGGAGAAATAAATAAACTACGAAATGAAAGTGATGAAAAATTGCAACAGAATGCAGAATGCAACATAAGATGTATCATTTATCAACCTGAGTTCGCAGGTTAAATTCGGCAGCTAAATCTTCCAATCCCACACACTTGTGCTTCTGCAAAAGAGTCACGTTACGTTCGGTCAACAAAGCCCTTCGCTCGACAATTCAAAGTTAAAGAAATAACAGATGTCGGTTCTTGATATCGCCAGATTCATCATGCTCAGTCGTTTAAATAGAAGAAGTATAGCCTACTGAAGGAGTATTGAAGAACCGGAACAAGATAATCCCAATTTCAAATCAGAGTATACTCTGTAGAGGGCGGGTGGTCGCTAACCTTGATGTACTCTACAAAGTCATTCAGCAAGCCCTGGCCTTCCTCTTGCACGTCTTGTTCTTGTGTGCCCTCCGTGTCTACAGAGAAAGCATTTTTCCATTTATCGAACTCGGCATTGGCGGCTTCCTCTTCTCTCAATTTCTGCTCCGCTGCCTCCTCCTCCTGCATACAGTTCCGTCATCTCTTTCAGCAACAGAAGAAAATTAAGTTGCTACAGAAAAAAATGTAAGTACAACTGAGCATAAGCACAAAAGCTTGGGATCAGAATAGGACGTTCGCACCTTTCGTCGTTCTTCTGCTTCACGCTCTTCATCTTTCTGACGACGCATCTCTGCATGTTTATCAACCTTCTCTTTCCGCAGCTCGCGAGATGCAACCTCAGCCTACGACAAGATTCAAACGTTCTCTTCAAACTTCATACAACCAAAGAAAAGCCAAACCTTCAAGATCAGAGAGAACGTTTTACCAATTTCTAAATTTACGAATCAATTCAGTACACACAAAACGGATGTGTACAGGATCTCAATACCTGTTTGCGTGCTTCTTTTTCTTGTTTCTTCTCTAGCTTCTTTTTCGATGCTTTAGCTTTATAGTATGAGGCATCAACAATCTCCTCCTCCTCCTCTTCATCGTCATATCCATCAGGATCTGCGTAAATGAAAAATTTGAAGGAAAGAGAAATTTAAAGACATTTCAGAATTTTTTGACATTTACCTGAAGATTCACGTAATTATGGTATCAAATTTTCAGAGTGCGACCATGCTCTAAGTCAATGCGGACGAAGAAAAAGTAAACCTTACTTGCAACAGTAGAAGGCGTAGAAGATGAAGCAGATGATGCAGCAGAGACGTTTCGCAATCTCATGCGACTTGTACCTCCTGATACCCGTCCCCTCCTTCCAGAAGGCACAGAGGGAACGATCTCATCGCCCTGAATCTGTGCTCACATACCCCGAACATCAATTCAGTAATTGTCGAAAAATTTGATGCTTGCTGTCGGAAAAAAAACTGAGCGGGAGAGCAGAACGCCACCTCTTCAGGGGTTTCTGGTGAAGACGGAACATCCCTCCGTCGTCTTCTCTCCCTTCGACTCCACAGCAACAATGGCGCCACTATCATGCCCATGAGTAGAGCCAGAAACCATGCCACCTGCTCCATCTCCTCCCTCTCTAAATCCCTCCCCCTATCCCCCCAAATCAATTCCTTCGCTCTCTCCAGCTTCGATAACTTGGAAATCCACTTTCTTGAAAGCAGAAGGCCTTCCTCAAATTACAATCCTACCTTCACAAGAGACGAGACTCTCTACTCAAATTCCAAAATTCCACGACATACAGGAAATTCTCAATCTCACAATTGCTTCCTGCTCCAATTGAACAGCACAAACCTAAACCCTGAGAGTCCAGACCCGATCTTCTTGTCTTCAAAGTCTTAAACCTTCATCAGACCTCCAGGTGACAAGAGTTGCCCATATAATGTAAATAATTCAAAATTAGCGCCTCCTCTGATAAACGATTCCAATAACAACTCCGATTGCGGCCGCTACAAGAAATGCACCACGCACCAACCCCCTCACGGTGCCCACAGCCGATGCCTTCGGAATTTCAAACCTCCGCTCCACAACCACAGAGAAAATACATCTAACAGACAACTGGTCGAAGAGTGCACGGAGAAAAGGCACGGGAAATTCGTACGAACATCTCGAGGACAAAAGACCGTCCGACCGAGACTGCTTGAATTTGTGGGGAGGGCGAGCGTCGACGAGTTGGTTCGGGCGTTTGTCGTCCCTCCTCGCGGGAAATGAAAGCGGAGCCGATTACGCTTGACGTTCTGCTTCCTCGTCCTTCCCTCGCACCTTTCCACAACAAGGCGCTCTTTCCTTCAGCCGTTCCCCTTTGCGGACTCTCCGACCAAAACCCTTTACGTCTTTCGGCCTTTCTTCCAGCAATTTTCTCGAACCCAGTTAAACTAAACAAACTTCCAAGGACCACGGCGTTGATCAATCAACGCAGTTGATCGATACCTAAAGAAAATCTAGTCTGCAATTCATGTTCGTGATTTGTATTAGCTAGGGACTATTAAAACGAAGTGAAGTCAAAGTAAAATAATCTTCTAAAGAAAACTTCGAAGAAATGTCTTTAGGTGGAATATCCAGTAAACTTCAAAATTGGATCCATTGAAAAAGTAACACTTGTGATTCAAATGATCAACAAGTGTTTCAAATTTGTGGATTTTTGAAAATTTAATTCATTTTTGGAAAAATGAGATTTTCAATCATGCTTATATTAGCAGGTTAAAGTATAAGATTAAAGACAAGTATCTTGCACGAAAATTGTGATATTGACGAAAATGGGAAAAATATGAAAGGATTTAAATTTGATCACTGTACAAGTTGTTCAATCAAAAAACAGAAATCTTATAATCATGCGATACATAACTTGTATCAAATTTTATATGGCATAATTTAATTTCTCTTGCATATCAATAATTAACTCAAAGATATTTATTACTACTCAGGTTACATGAGATGAATAGACTCAATTATTCTTTATCTAGAAGAATAGAATAGAAGTGCAATTGCAAATGTCATGTGATGTTAGTTGTTATATACTTTAGTAATTGCAAATGAGTTGTTGAAGCATGTAAATCTATTTCACATAAAAAACTTATTAGAACATAGGTTTTATACTCAATTCATTTGTCTGTGCCTCTATGGAGTAATCCAATATGAGGTTCCGCGTTCTATTATTTCTCCATTGATTTCCAATACTACTGGTAAAACACCATGAGCAGCAGGATGTTGAGGTCCAATATGAAAAAATCAAACAGCACATTAATTTATGAAAAGGATTTGTTAGTAAATGTTATAGCAATCAGCAAAAAATGATTATTTATATTTTATAGCTATAAAAAACATACTTAATAGAACTGCATAGCTATGGTTTAGCTTTGAAAAAAAAAATATCCATCTAAAAAACATGATTTCTACTTATCAAGTCTTATTACACATTATTTAATTTAACCATTCCATAAAGTTTGGAATCGTTGGTATCAAACGTGATAATGGTTTTTTCTCAACATTAAAACATAAGAAAAAATCTAAGATTAAATTTCCATTCTTTTGAAATATGAGAAAGTGAAAAATTTACATCATATCTAAATTTTATATTTATGTTGGGTTATATTAATATTAAAATAATTTATTTTACTCTTAGTAACATTCAAACCAACATTGCAATTTAAGTATCTTCATAATTTAGTCATCAGAGCAATATTTCCTTTTTATTAGGAATAGATTTTACAAAAAATAACAAAAGATATTCTAAAATACAAAAGATAACAATAATCTTTATTCAGTATATGACAAAATGAATCTATTTTGAGCTTTGAAACCTCTTCAAAATAGACGACACAAACTTTGAATGCTATTCGAAATATTTTATATTTGAATTGATTTTATTTAAAGCTTATAATTTATGATCCATGGAAGTCTGAGTAATATATGATTTGTAACATAAACTAATATTTTACGTTAAAAGGGAATATTTTCTCAAGAATTGAGGTTTATCACTTGCATCATACTAAGTGATGGGGAAAATAAATCAACCTGCAGATGGGAAAGAAGATCTTACAGATTTTGAATACATCACATGAATCTTCTTTTTAGGAATGTTCTAATTTTTGACATGATAATCATAAATAGAGTAGGTTTCTGATTTCATATATGTTCACTACTTATGATATATTCATTTTCATTTTTCAAATCTTCTGAAAGTAAAGTCCATAACATCAAAAACTTAACTGATTTCTTGATATACATTCTACTTAGAGAAATTACTATTTCAGTTCTAGAAATTCTTGTAATTGTATACATAGATGAGATTATTATCATTTTCTTCCATCATTTTTCGAAGTTTCATGATTAGTTCCATAGTTTGTTTGTTGGCAGAGGAAAAATATAAGTTAAATATCATAGACAAATATAAAAAGATCATGTTCATCATAAGAAAAATGTGATAAACATTATCCAATAGGAACCGACGTGTTGAGAATGTAGCGTTCCACTCGTTTATTGAGGTTCCGCGGATATTGAAAATTAGCTCAAGAACTCGAAACATCCGTGAGAAAGTGACAATTGGAAGCACTGACAACGTCATCCTGGACAATATCTCACTGTCCTATAGGTTTATAGGTACATGTCAAGTAACTTTGTTTTGCATCAATTCACAACGTTCGATACAGTACGTCTCTAACAGTTTTGACTTGTGTGTATGACATGGCAATTCTCGGATTAGCTACTGTACTTCAAACACTTCAAATGTACCTGGTTAAATGGGCAAGAAGACATTGTCACTCTGTAACTTTACTGTAAAACGTGTATGGAATTTGTTTTATTCAATCCGCTATGAAGGTAATGAAGTAAAAAGCTTGACACATCTTATATCTTTGTACCGGCGTGATATAATTCATCCCTCGAGTCAACTTCGAGATGCCGCTATCCCACCTACAAATCTTTCTATAATTCGAACATTTCGTCTTTAGATTGCTCTTCTTAAAAAGATTTTCCGTTGAGTAGGGTAACTCACTAACTAAGGTGAGTTTTCCATTCAGTATAAGTTAAGTTGTTCGAAGTCATTTATCTTACTCACACAGAAAATGCGAATTTATTTCAACTACATTTACTGTAAGCACAGGCCAAGCCTCCTCCCAAGTCCTGTTCTCCAATGTATTTATGCCAAATACCAGATAAAAGCCACAGCAGTGTCTTTGTTCAAGACCCTTATTAACCATGCCCAGCTACTCGTGTACCACATCATTGGCAGGAATGACACGTTACTAGCGCTATCATTCCTTCACATTGTGCTAGCTTCAAGCCATCTCGATACAAACATCACTTAAGTACTTACTGTAGGCCTGTACAAACCTCCAGAGGAGAAATATGGCGCAGACAGAATATAAAATATGAGACATGCAATATCCCGAGAAACTGGCATTGACAAATTATGCGGGAGCGGTAGAAGGCGCTCTTCAGTAGTCGGATGCTATATGCACAACTCTCCGCTGAATGATTACGGGAAAAATTTGATTTAAAGCAGAAATACACAACATTCTGGAAATTTCCGCCTACAAAAGATTGGAACAATACGGACATTCTCGTCTGATTATAATGCAACCTGAGTCAAGGGATGGGCAAACTCAGCTCTACGTTGAGTATGGAATGGCGGTCTAACCACGACAAATTCAGCTTTCGGAATATACCATAATATGAGACAACAGGAAGTAGTCGTCTTCAAAATATCTCGTGGGTAAAACATGAAACGACCCACAAACCCACCACCTTGCACCCAGAAAAAAATTGATTCAACTTATGCTACCTTAGACCCCCAACCAATTGAGATATACTAATGCTATGTAAATTGCACCAGCCACACTGAAGGTGAAGGCGCTCTATAAGACCCGGGGTTTACCTGCAGAAGTAAAGCCTGCAGCCTTGGCTGACTAATATCTATACACAGGTTGGCTGCTCCCTGGAGGAGGTGGCGGCAGTCGGGTAGGAGTCCTCCGGCTTTGGTTGCCAACATCACCATTTTCATCGTTATCACTGTGGCGCCCACTAATCTCGCCATTCATACCCGCACCTCGTGACGGGCGGGGGCTACGTTCGCTACGTGAGTGAGAATGCGATGATGAATTAGCAGCCTGGTCAAATGCGAGCCGCCAATCTTCCGTTTCCGGAGCCTTCGGGGATCCCGGTCCTATACAAATCAAGCTGAAAATCAGATATAATGACACATCGTAGAATCGACTCGCAAAACACAAGCATCACAAGCTTCGCGCAGGCACTTTAGAATGCAATCCGCAAAAGTTCAAAATCATATTGATGAGAAAAAGAAACTCACCATTACTGCTACTATCAGAGAATCCAGAAACTGCTGCTGCCTTTGCTTCATGCACGCTCAGCTGGCGAGTCAACTGCGATAGCAAATTAGCCTGACGCTGGCATCGTTCCCGACGCTTTTTCACTTCACCATCCTCCTTCAGTAGCTCTTCAATCTTCGGGGTAGGATGTGCACTGTTTCCAAAAACGTTGATTACTAATTTAGTTCACAAGAAGCTCAATGAAGTCTAATACCCAACTTCAACTCGTCGCAAGACGTGCAACTGATAGTCCACTGCTCACGTACACACAGTGCTGAAATAACAGAAAAGAAAGGTGGGTCTTTGTCGAGAATGCTCAATTTAGATCTTTCAAGAAGAAAAACGATGTAAAACCAAGAGACCGAAAACAAATGGAACAATTATGCCTAACATCAACTCAATTCGTTATTCTTGCGCCACAGATTCTATACAACAAATTCAACAACCTCCTGAAACAAAAAAAATAATACAGATAAAAACAGATACGACCAGTGTACCTTATAGAGCTGTACAATTGAGCAAGCATTGCATCCTTCGATCTTTCTACTTGACAGAGAACAACGGCCTGGTTGGCAAACAACATATGTTAGAAATCCATGCTTTGTCGTCAATTGGATTGTGGAGGCCAAGAGTTAAGATCTGGGACAAGGGTTGACGGCGGCGGGTTCTTCTGATCTCACCTTGGGAACATTGGCTGCAAGACTGTTAAGAACAGCTTCAACATAGTCACGCACTTCTTGGGCCATCATCCGAAGATCTTCTTCTGGATCCATTGGCTTCCTTTGATAGGTGGGCTCCTACACTCACAGAAATCAATAATACAATCAAGTCTCGCAACTCTCACGAACCAATAAATTTATTCGCCGCAAGGGAATTGATCAAATGTGGTAAGAGAGAAGCTGACATTCAACTTCACCTACAAGACAGAGTTATCGACTAGTATCAAGCATAATGAAATCACCCCTTGATGTGGACGTACCACAGGGCCATCCGACCGAGAGGATGAGTTAGATTCAGTCAATGAGGGAGCAGATGAAGATGACTTCAACGTCGTCCCTTTCTTCGAACTTGAGTTATCAGGTTCCTTTGTGGGTGTTGTTCCACCACCAATACACTTTCTAAGCCTATTCATCCAATCCAACTTATCGGCCATATTTTCAGCTTTCAATACAATGTTATGATGTGCTGCAAAAAGACGATATTTCCTGTTAGAATTCAAGAAATGTTGCTTACATATGTTCACCAACAAGTGGCACGAAATTACTAAACGGCGAATTGCACTATTGCCACTATAAAAATATGTAAACATCCGAAAGTAAAAAACGCCTGACCATAACCTAGATCCTTCGATTACTCAAATCGGAAGAGAAAGATGTGTTTGTATGAAACTGTTTGTAGTATCCCGACAAAAGCTGACTTGATACCTTTCAGAACAGTTTTGTAGGCAACTTTGTTGCTGATCTTGAATGCGAGGGCAGCAGCTGAAATCTTGTTTGCATCACCGTTCGCATTCTTCTTGTCTTTGGAGCTTTTCTTGGAGGTAGGCTCAGGTGCCCCATCCTCCATGTCAGAGTCGGAAGCATCTTCGATGACACATTCCTGCAAGAGAGGTCACTCTCAATAAACACGAGAGGTTCTAGACGTTCGTCGGGCTTGGATTCCCATACTCATTTGCAAAACAAACCGACCAAAGACACCATAACTCCCCCGAGAATTAGAGAAACTCCCGGAGTACATGTGCTGATGAGATTCGGGAAAATTTCAGAAATTCGAAATCAACACATCCAAGGTACTCAAAAAGGATTGCTGCTCATTCACTTTGAAAAACTAACATTACCTCCAAATTGATGACACCACGAAAGTGCTTCTCCTCGGGTTTCTTGGTGTAGCTAAACTGCGGGCACACAACACATTTTTATTTTCAGCAATCGAAAAAATTGGAACTTTCTAAATGCAATAGAGGACCAAAGAGAACCATTTTTTTTGCAAGACCTGATTGTTGTTGATTCCAAATCGGATGGCGGATATTTATTAAATACCACTACGCCGGTGACAAATCTGGCAGCTTACCTTGGCAGTTTTCTCATTAAGCACAAACCAACGCTTCACCCATGTATTGGTTTTAGCGCTCCTTTTGGAAAGATAACCTACAAATTTGATGACAAGAATGCAGAAGTCAAGATAAAAATTGAAAAACAAATCTGCATTGAACACATATGACAAAAAGGAAAATTGTAAACCTCTAAGCACAAGCTCCAAACTAGTTACTCTACAACGAAGACCTGCCTAAAGCAATCCGTTCAGTCTCACCGGCTACAATCTCATTATTGGGTCCGGCAGTCTGCAATGTCGAAACGGGCTCAGGGCCCTCTTTCTCCTTGTCTTCTTTCTGGCCTTTAAGAGACTTCAAAATCCCTCCTCCTGAGGAATTGGTTGGTTGAGGTGCCGTGGCCTGAAATAAAGCATGTTACACCCTTGAAAACTAACCCAAGTATACAGATTTGCTCTGACCGATTCCGTCTACTGTCAAGGTAAAATGATTCAGATTGTTCCAGAACAAGCAATTCTATAAATCAGCTACGTCCTAAGCGAAATTTGATGCGAAATTTGATTTGTACCTTGTTCAGCAAAGCAACCTCCGAATCCTGAGCTCTTTTTGTGGCTCTACCTCTCAGTTCATCTTCTTTCCTGAGTTTCTCCATCCTGCGTTAAATATTCAATGGAAAATTAGTGAGGCTCTGACACTTTGAACGCCAGCTCAATGTCGTAATGTCGAGATGGAAGTCAACTATCTATATCCTAACCTCCGATCGCAGATTAATTCATATCGATTTACGCCAGTCTACTGACCAGCTGAACAACCTGTGAATGGCCCATAAAAACTTAAGACCTGACATGAACGGTTGAACTCAATCACTCAAAGCTACGACAGACGCTGCGCAAGTGTGGTACGACTTAGAATAGTAACTGCACCTGCGCTGGACAAGCCTGATGAAGTGTTGAGGTGGAATGAACGCGCGCTCCATATCCACAAGAGCAACAACCATTTTCCGAGCTTCCACTCGGTACTCTTCAAGGGCAGCACTTGCAATGGCAACTATCTGTTGCATATAAGACATTATTGGTCAAAGTTCGGAAAGCTTTCACAAAAACAAGTTCAAAGTCAACAAGTCCAGTACCAAAAATTTGATTGGTCAATCTGAATATCCTCACCTCCCGCTTCAGAGGAGGATATCGACCCAAACCAGGGGTCAGAGACGCAGCAGCGGAGACGATATCCACAAGTATCCGATGTACCTGAACACGGCACGAAACACGCATAAGACACGCAAATTCTAATAACCAGAAACACTTCAATTGCTCAACCCTGGTACCGAGATGATGCACCTTGATATATAGGTCCTTATCAACAAGAACTCTACAGAGGATACAAAAAGCGTAAGATATATCAGATCCAAAAGACAGCTCACTTCATCAACGCAGCTCTTTGCTGGATCTTTTGCCAACTCCAATGCCTTCTTCACCAACGCCCTAAGCCCTTTCTCTGGGGACAGCAGGTAAGGTTGATACCCATCCGCTTCCAAAACCAACTGCAGAAGAAACGTTGCAATTTAGCAATCTTGTACCTTCATTCACAATAGGACCATACTATCCAGCATGAGGTCGACTGTGATATAACGAAAGCCATTGCCATCAGGAGTCATAATCAGTGTTCTTCGAAAATGCTTAACCAAAACTGCTGTGCTACACCGACGGCGATAGACGACCCAAATGAGTCTCAACTAAACAATATTTGCAGAGAAACCTTTAGGAAGATCTGATAGGAAAACCCGATCTATGGACACTAAATTGTAAACGTCTAATACCCGGGAATGGTTAGGTTTGGCTAGAATGAATACCAAGGTATCGACTGGAGGAATATGTTTTACCAGGTATGTCTCCAGAGAGTCCAACGGAGAGACGCAGAATATAAATGAAGAGGAAAGATAGAGATATTAAAAAGCTAAGATCACTCAAGGCCGATAAAGCTACTGAAAAGTGGATCTCACAAGGAACTTACTCTCTTGATACTGTTTATATCAAAAAGCTCGCTTAGAGGAAGATTCTTGAATCTGTTCGGTAACGTTCCTTCGAAACTTGAAACAACCTTCCAGCCTCCAGTCTGTAAAGACACCATAGGAAAAATTACCGAAACAGAACAAAGGATTTTAAATCGTAACCGTCTATACCTCGCCCACGCTATGTGCAACGCAGATGTAGTCATATGTATCAACAAGAAACAAGGACATTGAAAACCACGTGGACAAACAGAAACACGCACCTCGCCAGATGATATTGTTTGTATAAACTTGTCATCGAACTCGCGACATAACTCGAGAGCAATTGCTCGAGTGCCCTCTGAGGTCTCCACCCTCATTTCTCCGAGCCTGACAAGCTCTTCTTCTACAATTTGTGATTTTCCCTCCAAACTGTCACAACAGAGCGCAGTGATCTGATGCTATTAAACGATAATACACAGACGGGAGCAGCACAATTTATTGAGTTGGAAATTTACCGACCAAAAAGGCACAACACAAGAACATGCTGCATGTTTTACGAAGGCCTACATGTTATCCCGTCCAATTATTACAAAGACATCGTAGAGGAAGTCCTAAAGAATAAAGACAATGACTACGTCTACGCAGAGTGAGCGGCAGCGAATATTCGCCCATCATTCTGTTCGGCACACTAAACAATCAAATCTTGGTTGCATATTCATGAACCACTAACAGTACCCATTCAACAGACTGCAACCCTGAAAACCCAAACAAAGTCATGGAAGAATGGTATCGATCAGTTGGAGAATAACTCTTACCCAGAGAGAAGTGAAGGGAGGCGATTCTTCAGGCGCTTCCGGATTTGGGAAGAAAGTGTCTCAACGAGAGCTACTCTCCCAAGCTTTGAAGGTGATGCCTGAGGTAGAATTTGTTTAAGACTTTCTGCTTCTGCTCTCCAGGCTGTCTCCAAAGAATCTTCGGCTCCACCACCAGCGTGTGCAGCAGCAATTGAGACCGACTGTCCAATCAAAGCCACCCAAGGGAATTCCGCTGTGGACGAGGGTCCTTGACCTGAAAGAAGTGCTTGCACCGCAGCCAAGCTTCTAGGATCCGCAGCTGCTTGATCGACCTTACTAATAACACCAACGGTCCTGGTACCTGCGCACATGAGTTGAGGAATAATGTAGGGACTCCATAAATCTTAGCGTTTCTAAAGGACGATGTTGTAAGCACCACTCTAATATGAGGATATTTAAAATTCCTCAAATAGCAGTGGCCAGCCTGCACGAAAAGTAGTGAATGCAATGCAAGAGCCATATTTTAAAAGAATTGTACCCATAGGCGAGTGTGATAAGAATTATTTCCCAGCAACTGTTTTCCCATCTGCTCATGACTATCCAACCCTCCACAAACATCGGCTAACTGATGAACTCAATCGTGAAAGCGTGAACAAACTCTTAAAACATCCAGCGTACCTTCGCCGTCAAGATCTTGGACCAGTTTCAACGCACGAGCTCCCAAGATATTTGCAGCTTGGGTCGCAGGGATAACAAGGAGGAGAACTGCATCATTGTGTTCAGCATAGTCACGAACCTGCAAGGGTCGACAATGAGCCATTGAATTCAACACAACGCAACACTTCTGCAAACTAAATCAACTCACAAAGAAATTTGACCGTAAAGTGGCAAAATACACCAGGTTTAGTAACCTTACAATTGAGTCTTCTATGGGGGCCCGAACTTCCATTCCAGGCAAGTCAATTAACTTCAAAGGGGGAGCTGCAAATCGCGGACACGGAAATTACTTTCAGATTCGGCAAAAAAACTCAGAAGCCGAATGGGCGCCTTCCAATGCTAAGTCAGGGTTAGATAATGCAGCTTCAAATTTTATTTACTTGGCGTGAGCTCAGACTCAAATCATGGTCTGGGCTTCATCACAAGGGTCTACGTAACTATACACTGCACAAAACCATAGACCTCGCACCATCTCACGCGCTCCTTTATAACCCTACAGAAGTTTATAGTGCTACTTGTGTAGTAGTAGTAGTAGTAGTAGTAGTAGTAGTGTCATCCTGCCGTTGAGCAGTAGCTACCAAACGGTCTCTGCCGGCGGTACGAAACATGATTTCTCCTGGGTAAGCTCACCCAAGATTCTAACTTTTGGAAAGATAAGCAGCCACTAAACAGGAGCCAACTTTACCACACAAGTTCTTATGTTACTAAGCGCAATTCATTTCTCCAAAAAGTACTCTAGACAATTTACGGTACAGCATTTCACACGATATCACAACCGAAAATAGTTATGACTACTTCACCACAGGATCACGTATTGACATCAGAAACTTCACAAGAGCTTTCTTGGTTGGTAGCTTGAACGTCCGAGTGACCCTCAGTTCCGGTAAAATTTCCTATCACAGAGAAAACTATGTTCACCGAATAGTCCTCCCTCGTCTTTTCACAGTAACTTCCTTCATCCCGCTTTATTACTACCACTATCAGCGAGGCTTTAGTATTTGGTCTTCAAGCTATGACCGAAAAATCCCAATCAGTACAAACGATGAAATTCATGATGTTGAGTTATCCGGCTTCCACAAAATGAAGAACTATGTATTAGGTGACATCTGTACTGTTGGCAACCAGCACAATCATGACCACAACGTCTAAAACATGTCCCCAGGACTAAGCATGTAGTACTGGAAACTCATCGCTCTCATCCAGAAGGATCGATCTACGCTCTCAAGATTCAAGAAAGGTGCTCAATGAATCCGCAAGCATGATAATACTGCCTCATTCGACACGATAGACAATGCAACATTAAAGTACCTGCACTGGAAACAAGTCTTAATTTGATTTCGTCCGGCCGGCCTTTCGCATTGGGAGTCCACTTTTGTAATCGGCCTTGCAAATTGTGTCTCAAATCACCTAAATTCACATGCAGTGTAAGATTGTGATCAGAGACGCTCAAAACACTTGCTGCAACAAGAATGCATTAAACCCCACTTCGCGTAGGTTCGGTTGCGTATATAATATCGTGTGACAACGGAAACGCTCGCAATCACAGTAGCTTCTCATGAATCAGACTATTTGTAGAGATGTATCTCCTACGAACTCAGACAGATGAGCACCCAAAAATCTTACTGGCAGAAACACTTTGGATCCTTCCTCCTTCAACTTGAATTGCTAGTCCCTTCCTATTTCCACTCTCGTCCCGCTTCATCTCGATTATGATGGGAACACGCGTGGCTCCATTTTCTCCCGTTGGCTGATTCAAGCAATTCGTATGAAGAGGTTATGAGAATTGTCAATAGCTCGTCACTCATTCCATGATACAGAAGAAGCCCGTGACAGTGGAAGAATCCAGGTGTCTTGACGCAAGTGACCAAGATGTAAATATCTCCGCAGTAAAGGCAGTGCTTCTGAGGAGACGAAGAAATGGAGACCGAAAGCCCTGAAACAGGTAGGGCTGGTGGATGCCTTTCTTAAAGACGAGAAATATGTCACTTGACCTATTAAGAGAGGTGGCTTCGTTCCGAGTCGAACTTCCTGGGAAATCTAATCAAAAGGAATCAAACTCATGGATCTGGGTAATTCCACTAACATATGCTACACAAGACCTACTGATGCATGAATTTGAATTCTTTCCGACACAATCTCGCAAGGATCAAAGCTACACTACTCCTGCCACTTCGTTTCGGTTCGATTTCAGCAGATTAATTACGGATAATCAATAGCTTACATGATTCAGCACATGATTCAACGAAAACCGGTGGACCCAACTAGTCCATGAAGCAGAAATCTAAAGACATTCGAAATTGGATGGAAAAATTCCAAGGAGAAAACTGGCGTTCAAAGCAACTCACCAGTACAGGATAACCTACAAGGCTGTTCAAAACAGCAGACTTTCCGGCACTCTGCAAACGAGAGAAACAAACAGTGCATTGATAAGATATTTTCAAGAAGCATATGACGATGACACTGACACTGAAGAGTGGCAATTATCTTAAGATGGCTATAACCCAGCACCCAAGAGTAGCACTTTCCCTCTTTCTGTTTGATAACAAGTTACAAAAGTCCATTTTCGAGCACAGTCCCTGAGCTCTGATTCCAGTATGTAGATTTTATCTCGAGTCCTTCTGTATCGAGCAACAACAAGCTGCACTCGGTATATAGTCCATCCCAGTCAGGAAACAAGATGCATCGAGGAGGGTGAAGAGGTGAAGCGTACAATGTGCCCCACGGCAACAACGTTAAGAAAGGTAGGTGGAGACGACTGCGATTTCGCTTCCTCCATGTCCTCATCTGCAAGCAGAGCTTGTGCCTGCTGCATTGTGTCCGCGAGCACGATTAAATTCTCCATGGTGACACCTGATCCTTGTCAGAGCCGATATGCAGAAGCTAGCTCCGTCCAGGTCTTTGCACTGTTCTTCAAAATCGGAGCCAAAGTCGTTCGGATCACTTATCTTCCGCAACCTCGTCGTAAAATTGAGTACCCACACCTGACGTGCTTATCCACCTGCTCTACACCCAAATTGATCTACGCACTAATCCCCTTCCACCTTTCCAGGGCATCCCCATTGAATCGCTGTTCAGCACACTCTACTTAATCGTCCATGTTAACAACACCGTTTCTCCCCGGCTCTTCCCTATCTGCAAGCTCCCTTCCCTATAACCACGATCCACAAATCACAGCCTCAAAACGAGAAACCTAGTTTTCACATCAAGCTCACTCTCGCCCTCTCCTTCTCTTTCTCTCTCTCTCTCCCTCTCCCTCTCCCTCTCCCTCTGTCGCTCCTATCGCTCACTCGCACGCACCACGCAACATTCAAAGCTCTCTATCTCGCTCTCTCAACTGAAGTCGAAACCAAATAACGCTCGTTTCCCTATCCCGCAAAGAGCACAACACACGATCATTTCGGCGTCGCCCTCACCTCCCACTCGGCCGCTCGGACCACCAAGACTCGCTCGTCTGTCTCCACTTCGCTTCGCTGCTGCTGCTGCTGCTGCTGCTCCTCCTCCTTCTCCTCCTCCCACCTCGTCGATCCGCAGATCCGCGCTTGCTCGAGCACAACCTTTCTCGCTTTGCTTCCGCTCCACGGATCTGGCTCCGCTCAAGCACGGACCCCGCCCCTCTCTGCCTCGCTCTCTCGCCCTCTTGTCTACTCCCTCGTGCCCTCTCTCTATTCCATTCCCTTCCTCCCTTCCTCACTCCCGTCTCGCCCTCTACAGCTTCTGTCTTCCTGTACTGCTCTCCTCCGGAGACCCAGCCAGCGGTCCCCTCCCCCGACCTTCCCTTCCCTTCCCTTCCCTTCCCTTTCCCTTTCCCTTTCCCTCGTCCCCGATCTGTCCACTGCTCGCGCTCGCGAGGGAGAATCCGACGAACGACCGACCGACGGACTGCTTCACATTCCGTCGTCGAATTGGGGCCCGAATGTCTTCACATTCACGCGAGGTTGGCGGCCGCGGAGTCCGTCGATTCGTCATCGCACGCGCATCGGCGACAGATGCTCGGCGACTCGGGGCTTCGATCGGGTGATGATTTTCACGGGAGCGGGAATTTCCGGAGGTAGATCTCGAACGTGGCGGGCGCTCATTGCTTCGCAACGACGGAACTCCGAGGAACTCCGTCTGGTACCGGCGTTTAACGGCCGCGCTCCCGGGTTGGCACCCGAGCGGGCTCCTCACCGGTTTCCGCACACGGCAGAAGGCCGGCAGTCGCGCTGGGCATCTGCGGATGCATCCGACGGCGGCGAGGGACGGATCCCCTGGACGATGAACCGCGGGCGGGGCGGGGCGACGAAATTCTCTTCCTGCTCGGCTGACGTGGACTGCAACTCCTCGGTTAGAGGACGTGGCTGGACCTTGTCGAGGTACACTGGCAGATGGCAATTCCTCCAGTCTGCCGGCTCCGTGGGTTGCACGGGCCACTCCTTCGACCGAAACCCTTCTTTAGCCGCAGGTCGTGAGCTCGTTCCCGGTCCAGCTCGCCCGGCCCGCGACGCAATCGGGCGAGGCCGCGAGTCCGTCCGCTGCTTTAGCGGATCTTGAACTGCTAGCCAACTACGACCAGTCGTTGGCCAGAAGATACTCCGATTCTTTAATCGATTTTTTAAGCGCTTTCTTTCGAAAGGCATTATTTAAACGAATTGTGCTTCGATAAAATCCCCCTCTACACGATTTCATGACATCGACAGTGCAGTCGTGCCAGAGAGCCAACGCAAATGTACTCCGGACGGGATGTGCATCGCCTATGATTGCCCATCGCTCCCGCCCTCTACTTGCCAGAGAGGGAAAGCAAGTGAAACCGATCGATAGCCAAGCGTCTTCAAAAAAAGTACTTTTTCTCCTTTACTTGTGGATTCTCTCGCTCCTTCGTGTTCTTTGAGCTCCCAGTTGACATGAGATTCATCCTTTCGATGCACTTTTTTACATCACTCTTCGCATCCAAGGATACACAACTCCTCCGTGTCTTGTTAGACCGCTTAGCAAATTTCTCGTTGCAGGGTTTAGGGTAGTTTTGTCTCTTTCTCTAAGTTTATACAAGTGTCCAAGCCCCCATGATCTAACTTGAGAATGAACACATGATAATTAATCATGACGATATTAGGTATATTATCTTGGTTGAGTCCCAAGAGATGTATATTTCACATCCAATTGGATCAAGCATATCCATGTATTGTATCAGAATATATGTCACTTTTGAACATGTTGTAGTTACTAATCCCTCATATGTGAGAGTGAATGTGAATACCCACACTGTAGATATGTAAACATCACCTTAACTCTGAACTATCTAGATATGATGGGAGTGCAGAGAATTAAAATTTTTTGGTAGTGTAGGTTTAAATTAAACTGACTCGAGGACCCCTACTTATGAGTGGAAACATTAGAAACCTACCGTGCTTTGTAACATGATGATTCAATTTCGTATTATTAAAATTGTGTAGAATGCTTTCTCTATGTACAGAGCTATGTTTATGTGAGCTATCACATCTGATTCTTCGATTACTTTAGAGCAAGTGAACATTTAAACTACTTCAGGTACAACATATATCCTTGTCATGCGCACCCCAATCATAACCCTTTGCTTCATCCATTTTAGGATGTATGGACTATGTTCATCCTTTTTAAAATCCCATTCATTGCTTGAATAACATATAGAACGTATTCTACTTGATCGGTGATCCGAGATCCAAAGCTGAAAAAAAATGTCTATTTTGAAACGTACATATTGTTTTCAGTGTAAGGTGCGACTGTTTTTACAAAGCTGTTTGCATCTGAAATTGAGATGTAAAAACAAAAAAGGACGAAACAACTTAATAAAGAAGCAAATTTTATCACGAGAAACTTCATCGGTATCGGATTGCACAGACCCGCTGACGGGGAACTTGGGTACAGTGATCTCAATCTGGATTTATGTCACTGCGGGATATGATTTTCTGTCCTGAATTTGTTACATCGGCACCAGGACCAAATAACTGATACATGATGATGCGATCCATGAGGACTCGAGGACTGCTCTCGTGTTCTAAGCTCGCTTTAGAATCAACGAGACAACAATCGTAGAAAATACATTTGCGGTTCATGTCACTTTTTGACTTCCAGTCTACTCCAGTTGATGACAGTTTCACCGGGGCTTGATAACGTAGCAAGCCCCGGTCGGTACTGGGAACTGGACCCTAGACAAGGCAAAGCAGTGCCTGAAGCCTTGAAGACGAAGGCGGGTTTAATGGTTGAATTGACTGCACGGATCAGCGGATCTGAATTGGAAATTTGACATGTTAATTCCGGCTCATTTATTTCAGCGTTTTCATCTTGGACGCACGCAATCAATGCGAGGTCAGTTTTGGCCTATTGCTTCACTTCCGTACTGGAAACCTGTTACTACGCCGTCTTGGTGTCTGTAATGATTACACGAAGTCTTGGTTGCATTTTTGAGCAGCAGGTTCCAAGAGCATGAAGGGAACCGACACATCCCAATGCCTACCCCGAAGGTGTCACCGGCACCAAGGACAGGAACACTCCGCTGAAAGGAATGTGCGCTCGTTGCCAGCGACCGAGAAGTCTACCGTGATTCTCTTCTACTCGAGGACAATGTAGCATAGATTCTCTATCGTCTAAGCAAGTCCCCACTGTAAAGCCGAGGGAAGCACTACATAGACTACCACCGCACATAGGCACAAGCTCAAATGGCATGCCCCGGGGCGAGGGCATGCTTAATTCGCATTTTGCACATGAGGCATGCCTGTATGTATACACGTATTTATACGTATAGTCTAGAGTTATAGATTGTGGGATAAGTGAGGAAATAAAACTGTTTTCATTTGGAGATTCTGCTCTAGTCTGTTCTGGGTTTTAAGCTTCCAATTTTGTGTTGTATTTCATTAGTACTTTATTTCCGTAGAAGTATATTTTCTGATATGGTGAAATGTATTTTAATACGGGCATGCCTGTTGATCTTGAATCGGGGCATAGGCATGCTCCGATTCAAGATCAAAAGCCATGAACCTCGAAAAAATTTGTTGAGCCTCCAATCCTACTCATGGCCCTCACGTATACTAGCTCCATAACGCAGGGGCGTGTGGAGCCTTAACTGTCCCTTGGATACGTGACAACGACTCGTGCTTCAAAGTGTGCTTCAAATTTATTCATTACCGTAATCAAATTTGATGCGCATTGTATTCATGAAAGAGTGTCACGCATGGCGTCGCTAGTCTAGCAACTTCCCTCTGGAACGTTTGCTCCACTGCATTCACATGCTTGTTATATTCTCATCCGCTTTCAAATGGACACAATGCGATACAACTACAAAGTGCAGTTATGGATGTTTTCTCACAATTGCATGAAGCTAATACTTGGCAGTGCAACTCCATCTTATTTTTCCAAGTTGCAGGATATCTTGGACACAAAGGAAATGTTCATTTTGAATGAAAGGATACAACGGGACACTTAAATGTGATTATTCACTACTTTGATGATATCAAATGTGATAGAAACGTCGTTGTCTCTTAGAAAATCACAACATGCTACTCCCAAAGAGTAAGTCCAAGTTCATAAAGAATGTTTAGATAGTTCTTATCCAACTTTAGATATATATATATATCTATATCTATATATATATCCTAGATTTGAAACTAGAGATACTATCTAAAATTAGATAGTTGGATAAATAACTATCTATCTATTTATGAACTTGGATTCTAAGAGATAGTTTCAAATCTAGGAAACAGTATACAAAATGTTGAAAGAATTAAATTAAATCTTGTAATATCAAACTTGTGAAACAATTGTGTTAGAATATTTTAAACAGGCATGCATATTGTAATTCTTCATTACTCATTCAGTGTTTTATAATGCATCTTTTGGAATCCTGTACCAACATTTCCTCCAACTAATATTCAGAATTCAATGACAAGACATCGAATCAGGTAATTAACAGCAAAATAAAGCATGTTAATTTATAAAACAAAAAAATCGTTTTGTATACATGCACTTCAAAAGATAACCTAGACATGTTGTCCACATGTGTCAATAAAATAAACATGACATTTTATATACATTTTATACATACACACTAGATGTATAAAGCAGATGCTTACTAAAAAGTGGTTTTAACATTTCTGAATCCTAATCAAAGCTTACGATATCTTACATACTTTGATTAATTCATATTTGTTGCTAACACACAAATCTCGTTAATCGTCCAATTAGGTAAGAAGCATTCAGACATCAAGCATAAAGAACACTTAAATATCATAATCTGTAACTAATCGTATGATATTTTCCACCTAAATTATATTTTCCTAATACTTGTTTCATGTTTTTAATGTTGCAAAAAATTAGTGAATAAACAGAAAATTTAAATAAATCTTCTTTTTTATAATAAAAAATATGTTTTACAAAACATTCCTATTTCCCAATCATTATTTCAGAATCTATGACATCAGAATGTTGAACCTAATAATATATCAATATATAACTTGATTACTTTCATTCATTAATACCATAAAAATCAAAAATCTTGAATTTGTGTGTCAAGATATGATTAAAATATATTTTTTGTAAAAATGAAAATATCAATTTCAAAATAGAAAAAAAATCTATATTAAAAAAATATATACAAATGTATATAATTGTACGCAATTATTAAAGAAATAAGATCCATCTTTAGTGTTTAAGAATTATAATTAATTATCAATACTTAAGTTAATATTTTAGATTAAATTTTCTTTATTTCATGGCAAATTTTTATTTAAAAAATTCGGAA